TCGGTATGGTACGATATCGGAAAGTCAAAATATCTTTTTCTAAGAATTTTTGCAAACGTCGGAAGATGTGGATTGTCCTGGCCGTGATGGTCTAGTGAGTGCACCCATTAGGAAAACAATAAACCAACTTAAAAAACAAAGTTCGTTCATACCTTACGGTCCTGGTGCATGTTCATTACGTTCTCTTTTCTTCATAATACTCTAAATTCATTTCATGGTTTCATTAATTGCTACAAGAAATTGAGATGGTCTAAACGCTATAGTTCATGACATTGAATTTTCTAGTAGTAAATTCACAAACTTGACAAACAGTTAGAGGCTAAAACCACGCGATCCAGCTATGGATCACGCACGATGGTGAACACAATATGAACCTAATAGTGCTTTATTATGTTGGTGGTGCTTTATTATCAGGTTGCAACGCATCGATAAACCGCAGCGGTTGGGGACTGGGGTGGGCCACGGTTGTCAGGTGGGAGGGTGGCGAAAGAGTTCGAGGAAGGCATCCTGCGACAGCGGCAGCGGCGGCGGCGGCGGCGGCAGCGGTGGTGGCCGGACCCGGCACCGGGCGTCGCCCTCCCACCTGCGTGCTGACGTCGGTGGCGGCGGCGGCGGCGGCGGTGACGGAGGCGGCGGCGGGAGTCAAGGAAGCCCCGAGGTCCGCGGCGCGCTGAGCCAGTAGCGCGCAGACCTCGCTGAGTGCCGCCGCGGTCGCAGCAGCAGCAGCGGGAGTCAACTGAAGAGGGCGTCGTTGGGAGTGGAGAGTGCGGTCTCCGCCGCAGCATCGCTCGTCGCCCGCCGCTTACGCCGCCGGCCGGTGAGTCGCCCGTTGCCTGCGCCAGCGCCAAGGCTCGCACGCTCTTCATAGTTGGTCGTCTTGAGACGAGTGCGCGTGACAACAACCGACACGTGTTTGCCTTCTGGCGGTCTTATAGTTGGAGACCGGTATTGATGTTACAGTGGTGACAGTGAATGTTTCGTGCCTTACCGTCATTGACAGGCAGTGGTCCTGTTTACCTTACTGCAGGTAGAAAGCGTGTTTGAGTTTTCAGGAGACTTCAGACCGCGAAGTTGCTGTAATAGATCGCAAGTGTCAAAAGCATTAAATTAATTCGAAATTAATTAAAAAGCAAAATTCCTAATGGAAAGAGACTCACAATTTGAATATTCCTTTTATTTTTTTATTTATAAAAGTTAACTTAAATAGGTTGGCAAATTAAATAAATTGCGTCAAGTACACATACATATCATCACAATTATCACGTACCAACGATGCCTTAATATCATTATCGACTCCTGTCACAATCTTTATTTATCATCAGGTTCAACTGGGTTAGTTATCCCTCAGCCTTTGGGTAATCTCTCTCCTCCTTAAGATGACCCCATTCTCTAATATTTGAAAAAAGATAATATATTGTTACTTTCTTGTAGACCGTTCCACTGTGGTTGAATAAGTTAAACAATTTAAGTTAATGTACGCAAATATGAAATAAAAATCATTCAGACGTACTTTTACTAACTGCAGCTGCATTCTCTGAAAATTCGTTGCAGCTGAATTCTCTCAAAACCGTTGTTGTTTTAATGCGTTTTGTTGTAACTCTTGATATATGTTTGATGTCTGTGCAATCTTTCTTCTCATCGTACATTGAGCAAAATGTGTGCATTGTAGAAGGTTTTAGAAACTTTGAAGAGAGAGAGAGAGAGAGAGAGAGAGAGAGAGAGAAGAGCGTGTTTGTGTGAGAGTAATAACTTGTGTCTTATTTTGAAAGGGTAACGTGTCCTTAAAATGATTATTACAGATGTGGTAGAATTAAACGACAATCTCTGAGGAAACTCATTAGTCTTCTTTAGATGTGTTTAAGTGCAATACGTGAAACTTTGTTTTAATAGTATTACAACACTTGTCTCATCAGCAAAGAACAAAAATAGTTTATGATCATTTCCCGAGTATTTGGGACTTAAACATGTGGATAATTTAATGATCTGATTGAAACGCATACTGTGTTGTGTTCTGACATTTAAACGTCAGATATGTACGATACTCCGCTTTGCAATGAAGTCTCCAAACTTGTGAGTGTGAGATATATTTAAAAAATGATTGTACTACTATGGCACAAAATGTTTCTTCATTATTTACGACGGACCAGTGAACATCTTCAAATAGTTTTTATTTGGATAGTAATGCCTCGTAAGACGAACGTTCATAGATCGCTTCTGCCGTCTTCACTTTCCTTTAGTTGTGTATCTCGGCATGCAAAACAAGAGCGAGTTGATTAATTCATTAAAATTAACAATTTCTGCAATCTTGTGGAAAGAAGTACATTTGTTAATACTTTTTTGACAAAGTTTGCAATGAATTTCAAACGTTTTTTAAAAGACTTTTAAAATATCAGCGAGCCTTGTGCTTAGTTATCCAATATGTTATCTTAGATTGCCAATATGTTGTGAACTGAAAAGGCTATACGAAATGGGCATTTCAATAAATGTGTGTTTAATCTAAATATTTAACTCCTCTCAAATATCACGATTTATTAAAAGATAATCAAATCTTCAGACAAGATCACAATGATCATATTTGACAATCACTTCTTAGCACACAATAAAGAAGACAATGAAAAAATTGATACAAACGTAAGTGATTCTATGCTTCTTGCTCACAGAGATTTCCAGTGCATAGCGTTGCATGATACAGATTACATCACACGTTGCACCATCCGTCATGTTCCAAGTAATTTCCCTTTGCGACAGTCACCAAACTCTTCAGTATAAGGCTTTTGCTCTCTTAAAACAATGCGGACTACAATAGTTTCTTTAGGTGATAAAACTGTCACTTGATATTTTGTCGCTTTTTCGATCGTTCTTCTATCACTAGCATATATTTCATGTTATTTCAAATATATATTAAAACAAATTTGTATACTCCTAAGTTATTATATTTTGTTTTTATTTAACTTCTATGGCTTCATTGGATCATATAAAGAGATTCTACCTACTGTTAAATAAATGAATTATTTCTTCCTTCAAATACTTTTTTAGATTTTTTTATATTACTGATATACTGACTGGGTATAAGTAAAGCAACGTGTAATTTGAAAATTAAAAATATTTAAATTAACATTCCCCCACAATTAATTTATGGATATTGACATTACGTGACACCCACAGCAGACTTATCGTCTGATTCTTTGATCCCTCTTTGGCTTTTCATGAGTCGGTCGCGTGTCGCTTTATCGCCCCTGAGATTCAAGCGCCTCTTCAGATAGCGCCCTTGAGCCAGTGCGTGACTTTCGTCACCTGTGCGAAGCGTCTGTTCGAAGTGCACCGAGTGCTATTTGTTCTGTGAAGTGATCAAACTGACGAAAGTTTCCCAGACCGCGCGCTAATAGTGGCTTTCGTGCTGGCATGCCTTAACTGGACAAAGGAAGCTGCAGACCAGCCGATCCAAACTTCTACTTACAGTAAAAAGTCATCTTTCTGTCACATTTCGGTTCTCAACAGAAACTTTCTTGTAAGTATCCTATCACTACTAAACGACACAACAGCAAGTGCTTGGAATTTGTAGGACTTTTACTTTTCCTGTTTTTTAGGAATTCTGACGTTACTATTGAATTAACTGACAACTGTAAATAAGTTGACAGGACATTTCCATTAAAATCATTACCATAATACTAAAATGGATATTATCTGATAGTTTGAGGATTATAATTATTTTTGAATGCGTTGATACAGTTATTTTACTAAGAGAACATTTTTCGCCCCCCCCTCAAAATTTAATTTTAAGCATGTATCGCATAATCCAGTTCTAAGCTACCGACTATTTCCCCGGCTTGTGGGGTAGTGTAGTGCATGTAAGTGTGTGTGTGTGTATGTATGTAAAGGGCGAGAAAAGAGAAAAGATGAAACATCGCAGTCATGTCCTGTTTGTTAAGGTCTACTCCGGCATTCGCCTATTATTTATCGGAGAAACTACGGGAAATGTCCGATCTCAGCAGTCTATTCCATACAGTGGCTAAATTCGACGTTGCTAGCTATAAACGAAAATTCACCACCATCGGACCTCGAACCTCCCGGCCAGAAGTCATTGCAGTGGAGGGGCCCTGGTCAGTTGTTGCCCTTAACTATCTCAACTATGTATATATATATATATATATATATATATATGTGTGTGTGTGTGTGTGTGTGTGTGTGTGTGTGTGTGTGTGTGTAAGTATTGATGTATTATTATAGGTAAATACTTGTGTTTAAGGACGAATATACGGATATTCAATAGTTGTAACTTTTTTTCTGTAAGGTTGTACATACAATGTGTTTTACAAACTGTATTAAACACTAACGTACACTTCAGTAATACAGTAAATTCAGTTATCTTTGATTTTCTCCTAATACTTTATGCAATGCCTCTTTCCACAATTGCTTTGTGCCTTCGTTTTTTCTATTCCTATTCATATTCTTTCTACCTAAATTTAATTCCCTTTTTCATTAATTCATTCATCCAATTCAATCAGCATGGTTTCTTGCAATCAGCTATTTGTCGTTTCAAACTCTAATTTGGAAATTTTATACACAAATGTGATAGAGAAAAAGCCGAATAAAAAAATGCTTATTATGCATTAAGCCACATCTGAATTGTACTGCAGCGGTGGCTACAGCAGTGCGTTAAATTTGTTTTTGAATGTCGTGTAAGACACACATCTCTTTCATTCGTGATTAGATTATGAAACATAAAGATAGGTCCTACGTGAGATACATAGATTTTATAAATGATCGCCAATTTCTTGATATATTCCGAACATCCGTTTAGACTGTCGCCAGCATCCCTTAACAGGTTGGAAAATGTGATAGTAAATTCTAATTCCGAATGTTAAAATAGACGTCAGTATTAAGTGATCCGAATTCCGCAGGCTCGTTTCATTTTTTCTATTGTTTCCATCCATTTGGCGTCCGTTATCTGGCTTGCGGCGCGCGAGTTGCCGAGGGGACGCCTGCCCTGCTCTTGCGCAATGCCACTCATGGCGTCGGCGTCGGCGTCGCCAGTTCACACGCGCGGCCGCGCTCTGGGCAAGAAGCGCCGGGAGCTGGTACGGCGCCGCACAGGTCGCCTGCCCATGCCCCCTGCTCCGTCGCACGTGACTCGGGTTCCGTGACTCGTACCCCGTGCTCCGTACCCCTCTGCGCCCGTTCCACATGTCCCATACCTCATGCGCCATGGCCCATGGCCCACGTCCGATGCTCCCAGCCTCATGGCCCGCCTTCCGCACCCTGTCTTCCATAGCCCCTGTCTCGCGAGAAGTGCGGGAAGGGCCGGGCAGCGCTTCCCCGGCGAAGCGTGTCTCCAAGACAGAAAAGGGAAGCAGAATCACTGCCTTCAGACTGCTTTCACTGATGAGATGTCTGGAATTCCTGCTAGACGGTGCCTGCGACAACCGCCTCCGAGAGTATAGAGTGTACTCCCAATACGAATAGCAACGACACATCGATATTTAAAAAATCATCCATGTTTTGGACTTTTTCAAATGTCGATAAATTTGTATATTAAAATACCACAGTGACGTAAGAAAAATATATCCTCGTAATGAAATATGAAAATGTCCTTAATCTGCTTCACCAAAAATATGCATCTTTATTAATGACAACGAAAACAGTAGTTTTGACAATCCTCTCATAATACAACGCATCCAGTAGTACGTTTTCGTAGGTCGACAGCTGAACGAAAACACAATTTCATAGTAAACTTTTATACTGACAGATAGTGCATATGCTGCACTATTTTTACACATACTTCACAACCAGAATTGATGTGTTTGTCATGCCGTGGGATCGCCATTTGTACTCCTGTGTAGTAGATATCTGCGCCTGAGATATATACTACTATGTAACAGCCACCTGTCACTTTACGCCACTGTTATACGCGTGCTGCTGACCGGACAGGAATTGGTTGAGATGTAAGAGAAGATAGAAATCGCAAGGGGTGAGATCCAAACTATTGAACTGGACAATTACCGAGTTTTATGTTCATTAAACAGCCGTGTCAAAATTCTCTTCTTAAATCGAGTATCAATTGAGGAATTGAGGAATTGAGGAATGCCTTACGTTTCTGCAACGTAACGCAACTCATGCGCTGTCGTCATCTTAACTTTCATCCACAGCATTCTCATTTGCAGTGTGTGAATATGCGTTTGTATTTCGTCAATCTGAATTTGTAATATTTCAACGTAAGAAAAAACGTTCACATTACGATTATACACATAACCTGTCTGAATTGCGCATGGAAATAGTGAATTAATGAAGATTTTAAACATTCTTAACTTTGATGCTGCAGTTTGTTTGAACCTTTAAAAGAATACAGATAAAATGTAATAAGCATTGAAGTGGCGGTGGCTGGAATCTAATTAGTAATTTCGCCACCGTCGTATCTTTTCCGGTCATCGACACGCATCGCAGGCAACCTTGAGGTAGCACGTGGAAGTGAGTGTTTTCACGGCAGGCAGGCAGCGCGGAGGCGGCGGCATGGCTTGGAAGCAGCAAGTCGGTGCAGTGGAGCGTTGTTCGCGCTTAATCTCGCACTGGTCTTATGTGTGGTTTCTTCAAAAAAAAAAAAAATATATAT